CCCTCTTGTCGCCCATCTTGCCCCGCTTCTGGTCCCTCCTCGGCCCTCCGCCGCGCGCTCGCTCTCTTTTTTCCTCGCCCCCTCGCGCTCCCCGCCCCTCGCCTGTTCGTTCTCCTCCGCCGTTGTCGGTTCTTTCTCGCTCGGTCGGGCTCCCCGCCTCGCTCGGGCGTCGGGCTTCTGCTCCGTCCCCCCGGGCGCCCGGGGTCTCCCCCGTCGCTTCCCTCGGGGTCGTCCGCTCCGTCCCCCGCCCTCTGGCCCTCCTCGGCCCCCCTCCGCCCCGCCGCGTGTCCGCTTCTTTTTCCGCCCTTCCCCCCTCGTCCGGTTGGCCTTTCTCCCCTTGTCCCTTTCCCTGCGGGTCCGCCCCCGCCGCCCGGCCGTGCGTCGTCCCGCTCGTGGCCCCGCCGTTTTGGCCCTCTGGCTTCCGCCTTGGCGGCCGTTGTCGCTGCTGCGCTGCCCGGCCCCCCCCGCGGGCCTCCCTTGCGCCCCGGCCCCGCGCCCCCTGCTGCGCGTGCTCGTGGCTCCGGCTCGGCTTCTCTCCCCTTGGCGCCGTCCTCCGCTGGCGCCCCTCCCGCCCTTTCTCCGCCCGGCGCGCTGCGGGCCGGGGCCCCCGCTGTCTCCCCCCCCCCTCGCGCCCGGCCTTGCCGTCGTGCCCGGCTGCTCGCCGGTTGCCGGTCGTCCCGGCCTCCGGGCCCCCCGTTGGCCCGTCTCCCCTTCCCGCGCTCCTTTTCCCCGTCTCGCTGGCGGGCCGGCCCCTCGTCCCGCTCCGCCTGCTCCGCCGCGCTCCGCTCGGCCTCCTTGGCTGTGCCGCCCCCTGCCCCGCGTGCCCTTCCTTCCTGCCCCGCTCGGCCTCCCTGCGGTCCCGCCCCGCCTCCGCGGGCCTCCTCCGCTCGCCTCTCGCGCCGCCCGTCCCCGCCTTGGCCCCTCGGGGCTCTCCGCTTGGCCTTCCGCGCCCGCTGGGGGTCCGTCTGGGCGTCCGCCCGGCTCGCGGCCTCCTTCCGCTCGGTGCTCCCTTGTCTTCTCCCGGTTGGCTTGGCTTGCCCGGTCGCGCTGGCTGCTGTGTCTCGGCTCCCCCGCCTCCGCGCTCTCTTCGCCCTGTGTTCCGGGGCGTCTTGCGCCCCTTTGGCCCCGCTGTCCGCCTCGGCCTTCTCCCCTCGGGGTCTGTGCCGGCCCGGTCTCCCCCGGCCCTGGGCCGCTTCTCCCTGGCTCGGTCTCGGTCTCGTTGCCGCCGCTCTCCCTTGCCTTCTCCTCTCCGCGCCCTGCCCGCCCCCGCGCGCGGCGCTCTGTTTGCGCTCGGCTGTCTTCCGCCCCCCCGTCCCGCGCCCCTGTCCGCCCTTGCCCCCGGCTTCGTCCTCGGCTTCCTTGTTCGGTCGGCTGGCCCTGCTCCCTGCGGCGCCCTCGCCTTTGCCTCCTTCCGGGCTCGTGCCCCCCCCTCCTCCTCCTGCTCCTTTCTTGCTCCTCGCCCCGTCCGTCGCCGCGCCCCCCCTCCGCCTCGGCTCCGCCCCTCGGGCGGTCGGGTCTCCCGGGCGGTGCCCTCGCCCCGCCTCCGCCCGGGCCTTGCCCTTTGCTGGCTGGTCTCGGTCGGTCTTCGCTCGCGTCCTGGTCCGCCTTCCCGCCCCTTGCCTCGGCGCCCGCTGCTGCCGCCGTTCGCCGGCACTGGCCCGCTCGGCTGCTCGGTCCCCCGCGCCTTGCTCGCCCTGGCCCTCGGGCGCCCCTTCTTCGCTGGCCCTGTCTCCGGCGTCGCCGCCCTTCTCTCCCCGGGCGTCCCCGGCGCTCGGGCCCCTGTCGCGCGTGGCTTCCCTCGTCCCCCGGTCGCTGGCCCCCTTCCGGCTCGGTTCGGCCCCCTCCTGCGCTTCCTGCCCGCATCGGCCCCGGCGCGGTCTCCGTCTCGCTCTTCTCCCGCGCTCGGGCTTTGCGCGCCCGCTTGGTGCCCTGCGCTCCTCCTTCCGCTCCTCCCCCGCCGCTCGGCCTCTTCGTCCCCGCCGCCTCCCTTCCTTTCCGCCCTCCCTTGCCGCCCGGTCCCGCGCGCTCGGCTCCCTTGCGCGGCCCGGCTGCGCGCTGCCCCCCGCCCGGTCCCTTGCTGGCCCTCCCGCCCGGTCGCCGGTGGTTGCCTGTCCCGCCTCGCTTTCCTTTGGCCGGGTTGGGCTCGCTTCCCCTCTTGGTCCTCCTGTCGCCGCGGCCCTTGCCGGTCTGCCCCGCCCCTGTGCCCTTGGTCGGGTTCCGCCGCCCTGGTCCTTCCTCCTGCTCTGGCCGCCCTCCGGCGGTCCCGCGTGTGGTCGGCTCGGTCCCGCCTCTTGCCCCGCCTCTCCTCCCTGTCCGCTCCCTCGTTCGCCCGCGCTCGCGCCGCGCCTCTTGCCCCTCCTCTGGTCGGTCGCTCCCGTTCCGGCGGCCGCCCGGGCCTCCCTCGTCGCCCTCCCGCCCGTCCGGGGTCCCCGGCTGTCTTGCTCTCCTCTTCCTGGTGCCTCCTTCTTTGCTGCTCTCCTTTGCCTGCCTCCTGCCGCTCCTCCCCTCGGCCCCGGCCGTCTCGTCGCCCTCTGCTGGCTCCTCGGTCGCGGCTCCGGGTCGCGCGGCCCGGCCTTGTTGCGGTCGGTGCCGTCCCTGCCCCTCCTCCCCGCTGGGGGCTTCGGCCCCCGGCCCCTCCCCCCTGTTCGCCCCCCTCGGCTCGCTCCTCCGTCCGCTGTGCATCCTCGCTGCGCCTCCATTTTGCCACTCATCCTCTCCCGCTTCTCCGCGCGGCTCCCTGCAGGCGTTCTTCTGGACGCCAGGGCTTCCCCGCGGCTCTCGCCCTTTTCTGGCCGCTCTGTTCGCGCTCCCCCGGGCCTGTCCTCGAGCCCCCGCCCTGCCCGCTTCTGGCCCCTTCCCAGCAGGCTTGCCCCCCTTCCCCCCGTCGCTCGGGTCCGGCACACGCCCCCTTTGCTCTCCTGTACCGATCCGTCCTCGGACCCGGTGCCCCGCCTCTCGATTATCCTCGACCGGTTCCGGTGTTCCCTTCCGCTCCCTGTGTCTCCTTCCTGCTCGTCTTCCCCGCCGGCCCGCCGTTTCCGTCTCGCCTTTCTTGACCCCCCCGGGTGTCCCCTTTCTCAGCGCATTGGCCCTCTCCGCAGTCCCCCGCCGCCCCCTGTTCGGGTGGCGCCTTTCCTGCCTTGCTGGGGTATTTGCCCTTCTCCGCCGCTCTTCCTTCTGGCGGGTCGGGCCCCGCTTTATGTTGACGGCCGCCGTGCCCTTTCCGCCCCCCCACCCCCCTTCGTCTTACCCCCCTTTGGGCGGGGTCCGCTCTCGACCGGGCTGTGCTTTTCCGACATCGGGGCCACTGCGGGCACCGTGCCTCCTAGCCCACGGGTCCCGCGCCCCGCCTCCGCTTGCACATTGTCTCCATTTCAGCTTTCCCCTCCGTCCCACTCCCGGCTTTACCCTGCCCCGTGTCACACCCTGCCTCTGGGACCCCTCCCTCCCGTCCTCGCCCCCCCGGGTTTCCCCGTCCGTGTCCCCGCTGTTCGTTGCTCCTCCGGGTGCCTGTGTCTCGGTCTCCCTCTTCTGTCCTTTCCCCCTCCCGGCGGGCCCGCATCGCGCCTGGTACACTTCCTCACCTCGGTCGGGCGGACGTCTTCCCCCCCGCCCCAGACTGCCTGGCATGTACGTTTGGCCGCCGGTCCGCTGTTGCTGGCGGGTCCACGGTCTCTGCGGTCTTGCCCCCCCGCTCTCCCGGCTGCCGCGCTACGCTCGATCTGCGCGTGGTGCGCGCGCCTGTGCTCTTCTCCGGTCGGTCTCCTTCTGTCTCTTCACCTTTTCCCCCCCCACCTTCTTCCGCTTTCCGCCGCCTCCAGCCCCTCTTCCTCGGTTGCTTCACGTGTGTGGCATCCCCCGTGTCCTGGCTCGCCCCCTGGCTCCGCGACCGTGCTTCGCTATTCTACCGTCCGCTTGTCCAGAGCTGCGGGCGGTCGACTCCGCTTGACCAGCCCGGGTGTCGGGGTCGGGTGCTCCCCCTTCCCCTCAGCAGTGAACCGTCGCCCGGATCCGGTGCGCTCGGGCTGCTCCTCCCGACCGCGTCGCATGTGCCGCCCGCCGTGGGTTTGCGGGCCCGTCCCGCCCGTCCTGCAATCTTCTATGCCAGGCCTTCGCTTCTCCGCCTTCGCGTCCTCCGTCCCCCCCTCGCGCCCTCTTTGTCCGTGGTCGGGGCGGCGGCTCCAGTCCTGCTCTCCCTCACCCCCCCGGCGGACCTCTGGCGCCCTGCTGCCGTACCCTCATCCCTCGTCCCCCTCCCCGCCCGCTGGCTTCCCCTTGCCCCCCTCGGCCCCGCTTCTCCCCACTCCCGCTGCTTGGCTTTCTCCCCGTCCATGTCGGGCTTTCTCCCCGCTCTGGCCTAACCCCCCCTTCCGCCTCCCCTCCCGCCCCCTGGCCCTCCGAACTGGCCCGCCTGCTGCCCTGTCGCACCCCTCCGCCGCTCGCCCGCCCGCGTGGCGTCGCCCGCCCTCCCCCTCCCACCTCCGCCGCGTCGTGCACCGCTGATTCCCCTCATCCCTCCTGTTGCCGTCTGTCACGGTTCCCCGTGCCCTCCGGTCCCCGCCCCATCGTCCCCTTGTTTCCCCGGCCTTGCAGCTCGCAGCGGATCCGCTGCCCTTCTTTCCGCCGTGCCTGGTGCCTTCCCTCCGGCGCTGCTTGCTCGCCCGGGCCTCCCTTCCGTGCATCCATTTCCCCCCCGAGCCCCCGATTGCGGTCCTTGCGACCTCCTCGGTCTCCTTCCGCTCACTCGTCTGGGCCCTGGGCTGGTTCCCGGAGCGCGTCGTCCGCCGCTGTGTCCTTCCCCCCCTCTGCCCGACAGCCCTCATCCTGGCTGCCTCTCTGCCCGTGTCTTCTCCTGCGACGCCGGCTTTGTCCTGCGTCCTACCTCAGTGCCGCCTGGCTGCATGGCGCCGCTCGCCTGCTCCTGCCTTCGTTGGCTTCTCCTATCCGCTCTCTGCTTGGGCTTGGCCTCTCTGGTCGTCCCTGCTGCCTGCCCGTGGTCCCTCCCTGGCCTCTCCTTGCCCCCCCCCTCGCCCGCGCCGCGCCGCTCGCCTGGGCCGTGGTTGCCCTCCGGACTCGGTCCGGCACAGTCGGGTCCCACTCGGCGGCAGCGCGCTGGCGGCCCGTGTCGCCCCGGCATGTCGGCTCGCCGTCGTGGTGTCTCCTACCTCGTGCCCGGCGCCAGCTCCCACTCCCGGGCGGGGCCCGGTCCGCTCCCTCCCGCGCTCCGGCCCTGTTGCTCGGGTGGTGGCTCTCCGCCGTTGCCCTGTCCGCTGCCACGGATTGCTGGGCGACCGGTATTTGCGCCGCTGGCGGCGTGCTCGGATGCGGTTGCGGCCCCGTCTTGCCCGTTAGCTCCTGCGTGGCTGCTGCTACCGGATAGCATCGCTGCCTCTGCTGCTTCCTCCCACTCCAGTTCTCCGCGTCCTGCATCCCTTGTGCCCGCTCGCCCCAGTGCTCGCCGCCGTCCGCTTTCCTTTCGCGCCCGGTTCCCCCCGACCGGCGCCCCTGCTCAGTCCTCCTTCCCCTCTCTGTTCCCCTCCGCGGCCCCGTACATCCTCGCCCACCTTCCACGCCCGTCCATCTTTCTTGCTCGTGTTCGCCGGCCTCCTCCCCTCTCCGAGCCCTCTTGCCGCTGGACGCTCTTGACTTGCGGTCTGGGCCACGCTCGGTCACTCGCCTCTCGCTCATATCCCCCCGTCTTCCCCCTCCTTACGTCGTGGTATTTATCCCCGGCTCGGCCGGGGCCCTCCCTCCGGTTGGCGTGGCCTTCCCCCACCTCGACCTCACCAGTGTCTCTCCCCCGCGCCCTCCTCCCCGCACGTCCCGTGCCCCCGGCTTCTTCCTTCGTCTCTCCTCCCGGGCCCTTACGCTCGGGTGTGCCCCCCGGTCGGGCGCCTGCCCGTCGGGTCCGCCCGCGTTCCTATCCCGCATCTCCGACTCCCGTCCACCCTGGCCCCCCCCCAGTCCGACACCCTGTGGCCCATGTCGGTCGGGTCTTCCCTCCCCCCGCTCCTGCCCTTTCCACCCCACCGGGATCGTTGCCATCTCTTCTCTCCATCTGACCCCCACCCCCCTCCTCTGTACCCCCCCCCTCCCCTGTCTCACCGGTTTCTCCCCGTCTCCTACCTTCCAACCCCCTATCTCCCTTTGCCGCCTTCTAGGGGCCCCTCCCGGCCTCGCCTCTGCCCGCTCGTCCCTCTGTGGTCATACATCTTGGCCCCCCCTCCCCCCTGTCGCCCCCTCTCCTTTTACTCGCCCTCCCCCTCCTCTCTTTCCCCTTTCGCCTCTCCCCATTTCCTCCGTTTCCCTCCGCCCTGCCAGCCCCCTCGTTTATGCGCCCCGTCATTACCTGCCTCCCCCTCCCGCCGTCCCCATGCGCCCCCCCTCCACCTGCCCCCCCCGTCTCCTCCTCCCTCCATCCTCTCCCCCGTCGGCCCCCTCCCCCGTCCTTTTTCCCTCCCCCGCCGTTCTCCCCCTTCCCCTCCCCGAGCCTTCCCTTTTGGTCCTCACTGTTCTCGGGAGTTTCCCCTTTTCGTCCCCCTTCCATTTGTTTTTTGCCCCTTTGTCCCCCCTCTTCTTGCCTGTGTTCTGCCTATTCGTCCCCCCCACATTCGATCTTTCTAATCCGCGGCCGTGTACACATAGGGGTCTTTTGCCCCTTCTTCTCCTCCTGCCTCTTTTTGCTCCCGCCCTACCGCCCCTTCCCGCTCAAACCACCTCCGCCCCTCGCCGCCGACCTGGTTGGCCGCCCGCCCCGCTGTCGCTTGGCTTTTCCTTCTCCTATGTTCGCCGAGCCCTTTCGACTCTCGGCGGACGGCGGCTTGACGCGGCCTGCTTCCCGCGGACGCGCTCACCCCTCCCCCGCCCACCCTACACCCTATTGCTCTACCGCCTCTTGCCGCCCTATTCAGGTGGCCTCCCCGTGGCCTCCCTTCCCTACACCGTGGTTGTACAGTGGCCCCCCCCCTTCCGTGGACTGACATTGCCCCGCCCCTCTCCCCTCGGCCCCCCCTGCACCCCCTCCGCCCTTCCCCCCCCCTCCCGTCGTTTTCTTCCTCCACTCCGCTCTTGTCTTTCCCCTCCCCATCCACCCCCCTTCCCCCCATCTCCAGCCGTCAGATTCGCCTCTCTCCCTGCCTTTGCTCTCCTCCTTACCCCCTCCCGCACTCACTCTCTCCTCCCGTCGCATACCATCTGCAGACGCCGTCGTACTTTCTGCCTTTTTTCTTTTCTTCTTCCGGCCCCGCCCTCGATTCCTGCGTCACCCCGGCGTCGTCCCCTTCTTTTTTCACCCCCATTTCCCTCTCCGCCATCGGTCGCTATTTCGCCCCCCTCGTATCCGTTTTCCGTCCCTCACTCTTGTCGCATTCCGCCGCCTACGCTCCTTCCCCCCCACCCCCCTCCCCCCCCCCATCTTCTTCCCCCCCCCCCTTCCTCGCCGCCCCACTGCCTTCCCCACCTTTTTTCTCCCATGCTCCCCCCTCCTCCCCTTCATTCCCGCTCCCCCCCTGCTCCCTTACTCCCCCCCCCCCGCCCACTCCCCGGTGATCCTGCCCCCGTCCCCTTCCGCTCCGCTGGCACCGGCTACCCCCCCCCCTTCCGGCACACTCGCGTCCCGCTCATGACCCACTTCGTCCCCGGAGGTCCCTCGCCCTGACTGTCTCCCCCCCCTCCCCCCGGTACTTCGACCTAAACCTGTCCCCCCTACCCCTCCGGTCGAGCTTCCTCCTCTCCCCGCGCCATCCCCCCTACGCCTCCTCACTCCCCTCTCCTAGTGCGCTCTTCCAGCATCTGAGGCCCCCTCCCGGGGTTCTTCCCCCCCGTAGGCCCCTCCCCGCCGTTACGCCACCTTCCGTGCTCAGTGCTCCAGCCCTCACCCCTGTACCGTCCTCCTTGCTCTCGCTTGCCCCCGTTTTGCCATTCCCCCCGTCTCCCGTCTATCCCCCAGTTCCCC